AATTTCTGGTCAGACAGTCCACACACCATTCTCTCACTATGGTTAGTCACTGGTTCCTTGCTTTATCCATTTGGGGAGGTCATGGTTCCGTTTGTTGTTGTTTCTTGTGATGTCCATCTATGTCTTTGTATTGAAGGATTACTTTATTCTAGTCTTCTCTGTGAGACTTATTTTGGTTTGTATTGGATATGTTTGCTTAGAGATTCTTTATAATTTTCCTGTCAGTTTTCTCTCTTCTTTCCTGCTAGGCTGATGATTCCTTTTTGGCAAGAGACGATGCCGAGGTTTGCCCCAGTTCTAGTAGATAATCATAGTGCCATTATCCCAAATGGGGGAGGTCCTAAAGGGATATCCTGGTTGTTGGGGAAGGTTTACTTAGGGTTTGGCTCAGAGGACAAATGTACTTCCTACAATGCAGTGCTGTTGAACAGCCACTTTGATTTGGTGTCTCCTTTGGCTGAATTGCAGTTTCCATGACTGGGAATGGCAACCCTATATCCTCTCTTTGTCTCAGGCTGTCCTCAGGGATATTTCTTCATTCAGTCATCCCTGATGGGTTGAGACAAGGAAAGATCTCCTGCCAGGGAAATCATGATGGTGGGGAAGCTGGTTGTACACTTTGATCTCACTTTTTCCAGCATAGAAACTGTGAGTCTGGGGAAATTTTCCAGTCTTGGTGCCAGAGAGACTGGGGTCAGGGGAGCATGGTTGATATGGAAGTCCATTCTCTTATCATCTGCTCAGAGATTTTTTACTTTGCTGTGGCCCTGGGAACTCTCTCCTTTTTATTATTTGAGTTCTGGGATATGGCTGGTGATAATCTCAGTGTACACTTGTTTTTTGTTTTATATTGGGGGTAGGGAAGCCAGCTTGCTTCTATGTTGACATTTTGGAAGCAGAAGTTCTCTGGTTCTTTTATCTCCATTACTGGCTTATGAGTTGCACCACTTTAGAAAGTTCTTGAGTGGTTATTGTAGGCTTAAAATATATAACTATATTTTTTCACAGTCTGTCTTCACATAATATTTTGACAATTCATATAGAGTACAACCAAATACTTCCAATTTCTGTCTGCCCTGTTTTGTGATATTCTTACAAAGCATCTTACTTTGATATATGCTATAAAGTCATAAAACCTCATTCCTATTTTTCCTTTACTGAATTGTGTTTAAAATAAAAACTATTTTATATTTACCTGGTTACATTTTAATAGTTCTTTATTTCTTTTGGTAAGTCCAGGTCTACTTCTGGTATGGTATTCTTCCTGTCTACACAAATTCCTTTAATGATTTTTATAGTGCAAGTCTGCTAATATTGAGTTCTATCAGCTTCTGTTCATCTGCATGTCTTTATTTTGCATACTTGCTGATTTTTTAATATGGCTTATAATTTTTTTATTTATAGCGTTTTTTGTTTTGAAATTGTCTTCTGGTTTCTGATGAGAAGTCTGCTGCTTTTCTCATCTCTGTTTCCTGCATGTTATGTGTCCTTTTTCTCTATCTGCCATTAATATTCTATTTGCACTGTCCATTTTTAGCTATTTGACAATAATGTGTGGTTTTGTTTTGTTGTAGAGATGAGGTGTCACTCTGTTTCCCATGCTGAAGTGCAGTGGCTTGATCAGAGCTCATTGCAGCCTCAAACTCCTGGGCTCAAGTGATCTTCCTCAGTCTATCAAGTAACCAGGACTACAGATGCCAGCTATCATTGCTTAGCTCAGTTTATTTTTTTGTAGAGTTTGAGTTTCACTATGTTGCCTTGGCTCATGCTTTTTCTTTTTCTTTCTTTCTTTTTTAAATACTGTCTTGGTATTCTGAGGTTCTTGGATCTGGTGAGGTTTTTTATTATTTTTAGAAAATTTTCAGATATCTCTTTGAATATGTTTTCTTCTCATTATCTCTTTCCTCTGCACTCCCTGGGTTCCCCGTTATGCAGATTTTGGACAATGATGTCTAATTCTTTTTGTTTTCTTCACACTTTTGTGTCTTCATTTGGGTGATTTCTATTCCAGTTTCTTGGATACTTTTCTCAGCTGTGTTAAGCCTAACCATGGTCCTTCAAAAACTTTCTGATAAAAGCAAAAGTGCTATGCTAAGTTTTATTTTCTAGCATTTTCTATTTGACTATTAAGTTCCCCTGAAATCCCTATCTGCTATATTGTTTGTCCTTTTCACTGGAACCGTTAGCATATCAATCAGGTAAAATTTCTTAATAGCTGCAAAATATGGTCATCTCTAAGTATGGTTTTATTGACTGGTCTGCTGTCTCTTGGCAGAGGCTGTTCTCATTTTTTGATCTTGCATTCATTTAAAGCAAATGCTAGATAATCTAGAGCAGTAGAGACTGAAATAAATAGTTTTGCCTGTTCTAGGAAGTTAGGGTGGAGTGTTTAATTGCTCTGGTCAGGAATTAAGGTGGAATTGGATTTTTTTGTTGCAATATTTAACTGTACTGCAGGCTTTAAATTTTTATAATGTTACATTGTGCTTAGGGTGAGAGCTGGAATATTGGAGATTTCTCAATGTTCCTGCTCCATCCTCCGCTTTTGGTCATTATCTGTGCTCCTGTGCCACAGAAGGATTCTCTGTCTATGCTGTCCCCTTTTCTCAGGGTAGCCTGCTGTTGCTTGTCACCTGGAGTAGGCTAGCTTATTTGTATGGGACCAGAGTTGTCTGCTGTTGTCTTGGTTAGTCTCAGTCTTGAGTAATGATCAGAGATGTCAGAGATCCTATGCCGTTTGGGGAACCAGAACTATATAACACTAAAATGACACAGAAGCTCTCTTCCCTCAGCTGTGAATAAAAAAGTAAGTGATGCTGCCATATTGTGAGCAATCTGAAGACAAGAGTTCATGTGAAAGGACAGGTGAGAAGATTAAAGAAAAGCAACATAAAGGACCCCTGCCACACCCAGACCCAAGTCTTATATGATCTGCATCTTTTCACTTACATGAACCAAGAAATAGTTTTGGTTTAAGCAAATTTGAATTTTATGTTACTTAGAACTAAAAGCATCCTAATTTATAAAACTACCACAAGCTTTTATGATCTTCCCTTGTAAGTGATGTGACAGTAAATAAATGCATTAGACGCCCTGAATTACTGATGATACTGTGTAGCACCTTTGAACTACCACCTCTGAAGCCAGGTTAAGCCAGTACTTTGGTCACCATATTCATCTAACAGGGAGAAACCTGACAGAAAAACTGTGATGTATCAAGTTATACTACTGGATTGCACTAGGACATCCTAAACTACATGGACTTTGGCATTTCACAGAAATATGAAGTTGTTGACATCTAGTTTGCTTCTATCCTCAAAAATCCAGAAAATTCTGAAAATTAACTTCAGAGGTTTTATTTTTAAATTTTACCCATAATGCCATGTAATAAAATAGAGCGATCACATAATGCATTCTTGTCTAAGGGACAATACCTCAACAGTTATTCACTGCTTTGGTAAAACTGGGAAATGTTCATTATATTTTTAAATGAAGTACAGAAAAACCAAACTAAGTCAAAATTTTGCTTTTCAGAGAAAACTACATAATGATCTTTCACACATTATCTATAGGCATAATTTTGAACATACATGAAAGGAGAACCAAAAAACATCGGAACTTATTAAAAATTGTGCATTCTTATATATTTAAACTTCAGTCACCTTTGAAGGACTCTCCATTTGATGCAAAACACCTATCAAAAATGTTGATGCCTTTTAGTGCTTCTACTATGTTTTGTTTCATCTCTTCCACATTGGCAAAACGTTTCCCTTTGAGGACTTATTTTTAATCCAGGGAAACAAAAAAAAAAAATCGCTCAGGGCAAGATTAGGTGAATACGAAAGGTGGGGCACAGAGGTCATGTTTTTGGTCAAAAACTGCTGAACATTCAGTATGGTATGGGCAGACGTGCTTGTAAATTACCCTTCATGTAATGGGCAAACTCAATGAAAGAACCTCAAAAAAAAGTTATTAAAGCCTAACACAGCCTCTCACAGTGCAAGCTGGTACACTGACGCCTGATGCCGATGGATTCCTAGAATACTTACCTAGTGGGGGAGCCTGCCCTCCAAAAAATAATTGCTTTTTTTTTTTGTCATATGTATACAGATTTAAATTAATGATATGAAGGTACAATCCACATTTGCACTAAATATACATGATCCTTTCTTGTCATTTTAGATATATTCCATACTTTCTATAGCTCCACAGTATGGAACATACAGAAACTTATCCAGATTCATATTGATAAACCTTTATTTCCAGCTTAAAAATTACCATCATAGTACATCCTTTCTTTCTTTCTTTCTTTTTTTTTAAGTAAGGGTCTCACTCTCACCTAAGCTGGAGTGCTGTGGCATGATCATGGCTCACCAGCCTCAACCTCTTGGGCTCAGGCAATCCTTCCACCTCAACCTCCCAAGTAGCTGGGACTACAGGCACACACCACCATGCCTGCCTAGTTTTTGACTTTTGTAGAGATGAGGTCTTACTATATTGCCTAGGCTGGTCTTGAATTCCTGTGCTCAAGCAATCCTTCTGCTTGGCCACCCAAAGTTCTGGGATTACAGGCATGAGTCACCACACCTGGCTCTTTCTTAATGTTAAATTTGCTTAATCACAAATTATTATTCTAAGATTTCCAGATAGGTATGCACATTTTACATTTTGATATGTATGTAGAACTTGATAAATATTTTGGTAATATATTGGATGACAAGCTTGTATTTTTCACTCCCACCAACAAAGTGCATTGTTCTTGAAGACAGTCAATACACTGATAAAATGCCTAGAAAAATGAAAGATTTTCCTCCTTTTTTTTTTTTTTTACATAAGTGAAAGAAGTATGAGGATGAAGAACTTGACAAAATTAAAATCCTTTAAATGTGTCACAGACTCGGCCTCAGGAGTTTTGGATTGGACAAAGGCTACAACACTTAGAAATCAGTCAGATCAAATGGGCTTTGATAGAAATCTGGAGACTTGAAACCAAGTACTGTAACTTTGACATTTATTAAAAAGTATTTGTCATCAGTGACGGCTTCTGACACTTTCCAAATATTACAGTAAAACTCTGCCTTAACACACAGAGCAGGAGTAGAAATTTAATTATGAAAAATACAGTGTTCCATTTTTGCAAAGTTAACTAGAAACATTGTTTATGAATCTGTACTGCCATTTAAAGTGCACACATGTGTACATATACAGGTACACAAAGCTAAACTGAAACTGATAGTATACTGTGGAGAGACCAAATGTTAAGACATTCAGCACATCCTGCTCAAGGTGGAACAAAGATTGGGAGTCAATTCTAGCTGGGTTACAACCAAATTCATGTTATTTCAGATTGCAATACTGCTTGATGGTCTACATTTCAAATATTTACTTCAAATGATTTAAGATTACTTGCAGGCTTCCACCTCCAAATACATTAAAAAAAATTTTTTTTAATTAGCTTAATGAAATTTTTAAACATTACATCCCTTGATATACTTTTACTCATTTAGCAAAAAGTACTGAGCACCGATACTGAGTTATAAAATGCCATGGCTTTGGAGACTAGCCATGAACAAAGTCCCTTCTTTCATCCTGCTTACATTCTAGAGGACATTGGATTTAGGCATGTTCATCATTGTAACTTTTGCTAAATTCCTGACCCTACTCTTATACTTTATAATCTTTAGCTTGTGTGCAAAGACTGATGTTAAAGTTCTGATGAAACTTTACGGAACACTCCTCATCAGATGTCTCTTCTCTGTGGTCTCCCGACCGTTATGAATGTGGAAGCTGGGCAGAAACTTTACATTTTCATTCTTAAAAATTATTTTTCCACCAAAAGAACTCTAGTGAGTGGAAAGTTTCAGCTCCCATCTGAGAGTTTCAAAACAAAACGGAATCTTCATTTCTGTGTAGATTATCTGATGAAGGATAATCCTTACCATACACTTCGCGTTTATAGAATTTCTCGCCGCTATGGACTCTTTGATGAATTAGAAGACCTGAGCTCCAACGGAAACCCTTACCACATACATCACATTTGTACGGTTTCTCTCCTGTGTGGACTCTCTGGTGAGCTTGAAGGTTGGATCTCTGACTGAAGCCCTTTCCACACACCTCACATTTGTATGGTTTCTCCCCAGTGTGGACTCGGTGATGGGCTTGAAGACTTGAATATCCACTGAAACCTTTACCACACTGTTCACATTTGTAAGGTCTCCCTTCTGCATGGACCCTCTGATGTGCTTCAAGGCGTGAACTCTCACTGAAGCCTTTTGTGCAGACCTCACATTTGTATGGTTTCCCTCCTGTGTGAACCCTCCGATGGGCTTCAAGGCGTGACATCTGACTAAAACCCTTCCCACACATCTCACATTTATATGGTTTCACCCTAGTATGGACTCTCTGATGACCCTGAAGATAGGCTCTCTGACTGAAGCCCTTCCCACATACCTCACATATATATGGTCTCTCTCCAGAGTGGACACTCTGATGACTTTGAAGGTATGATCTCTGACTGAAGCTCTTACCACACTCTTCACATTGGTATGGTTTCTCTCCTGTGTGGACTCTCTGATGTGCCAGAAGAGTTGAGGCCTTACTGAAACCTTTACCACATTCTCCACATTTATAGGGTTTTTCTCCTGTGTGAACCCTCTGATGAATTTGAAGATTAAAGCTCCAACTGAAGCCCTTTCCACACTCTTCGCATTTGAATGGTTTTTCTCCAGTGTGGACTCTCTGATGGCCTTGAAGGTGTGAACTCCGACTGAAGCCCTTACCACACTCCTCACACTTGTATGGTTTCTCTCCAGTGTGAACTCGCTGATGTCCCTGGAGGTACGAATTCCGACTGAAGCCCTTTCCACATTCCTCACACTTATAAGGTTTTTCTCCAGTGTGGACTCTCTGATGGGCTTGAAGGTATGAACTCCGACTGAATCCCTTATCACACTCCTCACATTTATAAGGTTTCTCTCCTGTATGGACTCTCTGATGAACGTTCAGAACTGACCTATGACTGAAGCCTTTGCCACACGCATTGCATTTGTGTGGCTTCTGTCCAGCATGGGCTCTCTGATGATCTTTAAGTTTTGAACTCCAGCTGAAGCCATTCCCACATTCCTTATAAGGTTTCTCTCCAATGTGAATTTTCTGATGGCCTTGAAGATTCAAATTTCGACTGAAGCTGTTACCACATACATAATGTTTATATGGTTGTTCCCTAGTGTGAACTATCTGAAGATCTTGAAAATGTGAGGCCAGATTGAAGCCATTACCACACTCCTCAGAATTACAGGGATTCTCTTCCATGTAAACTCTATGTTGAATATTAAGATTTGAACTACAAATGAAACCCTTTCCATGCTCAACACTTCTGTATAGTTGCTCTTCAGTGTGGATTTTCTGATGGACTCGAAGACACGGATTCTGATGAAAGACATTCCTATTCTCCTCATATTCATAAGGGTCATCCCTAGTTTGGACCCTAAAAATACTGTTAATGTCTAAACTATGACCAAAGGTTTTCTCATAAATGTTGCATCTACAGGATGCCTCCCCTGTGTGGATAAGTTCATAATTATTCAGAGAGGAGTACGGATTGCAGTTCTCACCGTATTCCCCACATTTGCATGGTTTCTCCTCTGCAAGCACTCTCTGATTGGATTGCAGACGGGAATTCTCAATGACACCATCATCTTCTCTCTGAATACTGTGATGAACATGAAGAGCTGACCTATAACCACAGCCCTTTCCACATGGCTTCCCTTCCAAGTTGAACTGTTGGTGAGCTTCAGAGCTGGAGTTATTCATGAAGGCTTTTCTGTACTCAGTACATGGGTCCAGCTTCTCCGCTGTTTGAATTGAGTCCTGATTAAGCAATGATAACTTCATTATATCTTCTCCACAGTCATGGCAGCTATAGTTTTTTTCTTTTCTGTGTACCCTCAGATTATCGCTGTGACGTGAGATCTGACTGAGGCTGTCACTTTTCCAGAAATTATTTTTCATTGAAATTTGCTGACATCTACACTGATAATTATGTAACTCCATCAGATGCATTTTCCTCCAAGAATACTGGGCCCTCCAAGATGGAAACTCTTGACTTTTTATGTGAGTCAATATATAGTTCTCATCTTCAGAAATCTGAACTGGCATTCCTGCCCAAACCTGGCAGAAGGAATCACCTTGTTCTTGCAATTGAGAATTCTCCCCCTGAAAGTCTTTCATGAGCTCTTGATGCCTGGTTAACCTGCCTGAATCTTGTTGCCAGGTCTGACAGGAGGAAAGCTCTTTGGGGGAAAGGTAGCTTAATCCCACTTCTTGAATGCTCTCCATCATTTGTTGATTCTTGCTTCCTACAAGGATAGAGAGAATGCAGATATATGCACAAGTAAATGCTTTTTTTAGAGATTTCAAGATTTTACATTTGGGTCATAACATGAAACTTGAATGAGCCAGAGGAAAATTCATGTCACTATTTCTAAGAATACTTAGAAAATGCCTCTTCTTTGGCTATACCAGGTCAGACTGAGTATCCTTAATCCAAAATGCTCCAAAATCGGAAACATTTTGAACACTCAACATGATGCTCCAGGGAAATGCTCATTGGATCACTTCAGATTAAGGATGCTCAACTGGTAAGTATAGTGAAAATATTCCAAAATCTGGAAAAAAAAAAAAGAGAAATCCCAAACACTTCTTTCTGGTCCAAAGCATTTCAGTTAAGGGATACTCAACTTGCATACAAGTAGGATCCACATAATTCAGGCTATCTGCATGCTGCAAAATCGGAGCTTTGCAACACAACCTGGACATCAAACATGATGGCTCTGTTCTAAAGGCCTAGTAGGCCGGACTCGGTGGCTCAGCCTATAATCCAACACCTTGGGAGGCTGAGGCGAGTGGATTGCCTGAGCCTGCGGGATCGAGACCAGTCTGGGCAACTTGGCGAGACCTTGTCTCTACAGTAAAATAAAAAATAGCTGGGTGTGGTAGCGCATGTCTGTAGTTCCGGCTACTTGGAAGGTTGAGGCAGAAGGATCACTGGAGCCCAGCAGGTCGACGCTGGGGTGACAGTGAGCGTGCGTGCCACTGTACTCCAGCCTGGGTGAAGGAGTGAGACTCCAATTAAAAAAAAAAGGCCTAGTAAAACCATAAATTTGTTATCATAAT